ACAGGGTTTTACACAATCATGTCCGCGACAACCTATTTTTGTTTCGGACAATCAGATCCCACCTCCTGGTTGTCTGGTGAACAGCCAAGAAAAAAAGACCTCGATTTAAGTTTTCCTCCATGGGTGTTCTTCATTATAAAAATAAATGAGAAAAAACTTGTTAAAGCAGTCTAGGGATTAAACTGATGGTTCTTTCACCCAATCGAGAGAACCAGAGTCAAAGTTTTACCCAATCAGAACAGAGTAGGGCGGGTCGTGCCATCTGACTGACAGCGCTTCCCCCCACCCCCTTTCTCTGTGGGTGGTCAGCTTCACTCAGCTCAGGTGAGCACCTCCCGGGAAAGTCGTCAGTGTTTCTTTCCTGGACTATTTTCCACCGAGGATTACGTCGTGTTTTATGTATATTATATTTCTAAAAGCACCTCGCAGCATTTCTCCTGTAACACCGTGTGTTCACGAGCAGAACAAAACCAGGACAGATCACCTGACTGGTTTTAAAGCGAGGGCTGAGAGCCAGTTTGACTGCAGCAGCTGCACCTGTCCACCTACAGTGTGGCTCCAACCAGCCCAGGACTTCAGAGCCCATAAGTCAACCCCTTCAGGTGGTTACTTGTATAATGAACATCAAAAATCAGTAATTTTGCGCAAAAAAAAATCTGTATTAATCATACACGGGTAGGGTGGGGGAGGAGGAGGTGGGGCGTCTCTTAAAGATGTATCAACGTTTGACATTCATTTTTTCTAAAATCACAGAGTTCTGAGTCAGCTTCAGGTGTTTGTAGTTAATCATATCTTCTAAATTTAACCAGGTGCTTCAATGCATTTAAATTACACAATCATTTTACTGGAGAAACTTGTCAGTTGGGTTAAAAAAAACACACGAAAAAATCAGTAAAAATATTTTTTTTTCTGTGCAGAAAACTTCTCCTGCTATAATTTATTTTAAATAAATGTATCAAAGCTCTTCAGTTGAAAACACTAAAATGATAGATAAGATGTTTAAAAACTTCTTTCCTCAGAAAGTCGTCAGTCCTAAGAACACTAAACTTTAACTACTTTAAATTTTAATAGGTTCATGTACACAGCATACTCCTATTTAAAAGAAAAATGTTTGACCTGTAAGCAGAAAGCTTATGGATGTTGATTTTTGGTCTCTATTTCAAAGAGGATGAGGAGGAGAATGAGGAAGTTCTCCTCAAGTGCTCCTGAAACTGTCAACCTGATGACTGAGACCATTTGTATACAGAATATACTTATTAAATTAAAATTTATTTTCCATTTACCTAAAAACTTAGAAGAACAAAAAAATCCATTGTTTTCTGCAGTTTCATAGTGGTTTCAGTAGCTGGATTTGGAGTTCTACTGGAAAAACTAGTGGGTTGAAAGGCCTGACCCTGAGAAAAGTGTATTTTCATCAGATGGTGGTGAGAGCAGTTTAAGGAGGAATTTATTGCATATCCTCATTTGCAATAAAGGATCAATGCTTAATTGATAATTTAGCTGGCAATATTTATCTAAGATGTCATGTCAAAAGTTCATTAAGATGTGGCCTTTGCCCTGGTCCAAGGTTTTAATTTTGTTTCCCCACCCATAGCAAAAATTGTCTGGCTCATCTGTGGTTTAATCTCGTCTTACGAGATCAGTTTGAGCTTTCTCATATTCGTATCATTGTGTGATCATTTGTTTCCAAGTTATTGCTCCTAAAGGTCCCTTAGGAGCAAGAGTTAATCTGAGACGAGACATCTCTGAGGTTGAGTTGAGATAACTGTTTGAGCAGTACTTGAGAAATGGGATATACAGAGATCATAATTGTATCCCACTGATCTCAATTATGTCTTGGTTATTTTGAAGGAAAACTAAAGAGAATAACATGAGATGTATTAGACTTTAATGAGACAAATCTGAGAAACTTGAGCCCTAAAACAGATCTTACCATTGAGTGTCTGATGTCTCTTCCATGTCTTACTGAAGCTATATATGAGAAAGATATCTGAGCCATATTTGAGAAATATGAGAATAAATTGAGAATGTAATTTAAATATTAATTATATTTATTAATAAGAATAAACTGTAAAAACAATACACAATATTGAAAAATTTAACACTTTTATCTGGGTAACACCATTACTACATTATCAATCTTTGAGTAGCAGCATTTACACAAACAAACAAAAAAAGTAAAACAAATATACAAAAAATAAAAATTCAGTYATCTACTTATCCCCTTGCTGATAAGAGGTGTAGCTTTTTTAATCTTTCAACCTACAGTAAAACGAAAAAAGATTTCAGTGGTAATAAAAGTTATAAACATGTTCTACTAAACTGATTTTAAAAACAAACTGCAAAATAAATAGATAAGAAAAGCACCCTCCAAAAATAAATAAAGAGAACAACATAAAGAATACTGAGAAAATAATCAATTATAACAGAAAAAAATAAACAGTAATAAATAATGATAAWAAACTTAAACAGTTTTAGCACTAATCAGATACAAAATCAATGGGTACTGTTGAAGTAAACAGTTTTATAATCAATTATATGCTTTGTTTACTTATTAGTGTTATGATCAAACTTAGGTATTGTTTAGTTTTATAATTGGATTTAGGTATTGTTCACTCTTAAGTTCTATTAACAACGTTAGTATTGTTCACTTTTGCATGAAGTTTGTTCAGCGGTATTTTGTGTTAAGCAGCTGAAGTTTTACACATTTTTTTATCTATTGTTGTATGGACGAGCTGAGTGTCCTCTCTGTGAGCTGCTGGAGTGGAGCAGGTTCTGACAAGCAGAAGATGAGTTGCAGACGGGCTGAGGGAGTCTAAGGGAGTGGATGGTTGGGTCCAGTTGGAGCCGCATTCCTGAGAGAGCTCTCTGTGTGTGTGTGTATGTGTGTGTGTGTGTGTGTGTGTGGAAGAGGAGAATAAAGACAGGGTTGTTCTTCTCATCAGACAGATGACAAACCAGCAGAGAAGCTGAGTGCACCTGATTCCAGGCTGTCTGTTGTCTCTCTTTAAATGCGCATTTAAARCTTTTGAATAATCTTGTATTTTGTATTTTGCTTAACCTTTTACAATTACATTTGATAAAGGAGGGTTTGAACCTTTAAGTACTTGTATGATATTTTTGACCTCGGTAATAGGTCAACTCAGAGGAGAGGAAACGAGCTCGGGCGGAGAGAGAGTAAGTTCAGTGGTTGTTCGCACAACAAATTGGAGGTCCCACCGAGATCTCTTCTGGGGTTCGGACGTTACGGGGGGGAAAAGGTGTCCAGGACACTGACGCTCGGACGTCCTCAAAGAATATCAGGTGAGCAGACTACCTTTAAAAGTTCTGTAATTGGTTTTCTGATAGGCAAATTTGTTGTCAGTGTGTTGGACTCCAGGGATAAAGTTACAGTAAAGTAGAAAACTAAGAAAAAGCGTGTATTTAAAAGAAAAGTTAGTTTTAAGTTACCAAACCAAGACCCAGACTCCAGGTAAAAACACGGAGTGGCCGACAACCCTGTAGATTGACGAAGCGACAGGTCAGGGGAAATTGGGTTTTAGGGCGTCGTGGCCTGCCGCAGTTTCTGTAACCCGAGGCTGAGTTCTACTGTAAGCTCGTGGGGTTTTGTGGCCCACTATTAAAACAGTATCAATTAACTGCTTATTAATTTGCCATTTACAATAAGTAGAACGGAGTCTGGTGAGGTGGTGTATATTAAAGTGCCAAGTAAAAGTAAGGCCATAATACACCCGGTAAAATTAATAAGTACTAACTGGTTCAAACTCCTTTATAATAAGATACAGGGTTGAAATTAAAATACCCAATTAACAGTACAAACTAATTTGAAATAAAACTGAGTCAATAAAATATAGGGCTGGACAAAAATAAAAGCAAAATAATAATAATCCAGAGTGCTTGTTAATTGCAATATTAGTTTAAAATAATAATAATAATAATAATA